ACAACACTTGAAAGCAAGTAATTGTTTTCTAGAATTGATGACTATCCGGATTTCACATCATGTTATTTGTTACTTATAAGCAAACCTATGTTACAAAAAATATATCTACTCTTAAATTAAGGAATAAAATGATCGAAGAGGTACAATGACTTTATCTATAGAGGTATAATGTTGTATCCAAAATATTGAACTTCATTGTAAAAAGTCAAAAGTGATTTCATTAAATAGGTGGCCACTCTTCTGTTTATACTACAAATGAATATGAATTTCAAGACTTTGTGTTGAACGTATAGGAACGGAAAACCTTAATCTTCCCGTACCATCAGAGAATTAAATGAAAGCAGGATTAAATTCGAGATTCACATCTTCATAATGTGTGACGCCAAATCCAATTCTGTAGCTAATCTCCTCTTGCACCTGATGACCCAATGTAACCCTCCAAAGAAATTGGCTTCCTAGTTACAGCAAAAAAGTGATAAAACTTAAATAGGACAAAATTGTTTGAAAATATACTCAAGAAATGATTAAGTAAATTAACTCACCAGACTTAGTTACATATTGGTTAAGCACTTCAGTATTCAATCTCATGAATTAAGCACAAACACATATGCATGATAATCCTCTACCCACTCTATTATTCCATGAGCAACACAAAGATAATTATGTTTTTGAGTTGGAAATTCTCATCTTGAATTATATGAAAGACCTCATCCATCCTGATATCCACTATAGAAGCTCACAGTTTAATTAAAACCGGCCTCATACAGAATAAGGAAGCCGAAAACACAAATGATCAACCCGACCCATTAAGATTACCTAAACCTTGTCCTCCAATGTTCGTAAATTGTCAGTGCCAATGCCTTCTCACTGTCTTGTAGATGATTTTGGATAATATTTACAACTGATTTATGAAATCTCTTCCTTCTTTAAAAAATTGTACAATATTGAGACAATTGGATCTGTTTGGCCTCAAGTAAAATTTTCCGGCGGGGAGTTTATAACTGTGTTCTAATTGGTGTAGGAGACAAATAAATTATATCATGTTTGACTTTTACGTCAGATGACTAAGACAACAAATAATCGAATCCCATTAATTGTAGTTCTACCGTACATGAACTAAAACTTGCATAGAAGAATTTGTAATGCATTTGAATTGAATTTCCTTCGTTGTAAATCTGTGCAATATTCTTTATTGCTGTAAGTATAAGAAACATAATACCCTATATGACAAATATCCTTATATTTTATTTTAATTAAGGCCCCGTTGCGTTTGATTCAACTACATTTACCTCGTTCAAATAATTACTTATCAGTCTGACAATTTCTAACCTCTTTATGTAATAAATATTTTAAAGACGTAAACAAAATTCGATAAACCAAATTGTACCATATAAAATATATAATGAATACTATCCCTTTTCTTTCCTTCCACAGGCCAAAGTATACA